GGACTTCGACTTTGCTTGCAAGTCGACTTTCACATGTTACAAGTCCACTTATTGCAATCGACTTTCTCGAGATTAAAGTCGACAAGATCAAATTTGTTCGTTCGACTTTCGACTTAGTTCAGTTTGACGGTTGACAAATTCAAGTTGTTCCTCAGAAGCATATGCCTGAAGTTCTGAACGTTCAAATAAACGAAATAATTTTTTTTTAATTTATTACATTAATGAAAACAAAAAGTTACATTTAAAATTTAATAAGTTATTCACTTATTTTTTTATGCAGAAACCAATATTTTATAAAAAAAAATTTGAAGTTAAAACAGTGGTAAACGAATTTTTTGTTCATTTGAACGTTCAGAACTTCAGTCACATTCAGAAGCATTGATCCAGACATGATTATAGTTTAATGACAATTAATCTTTTTTTTGTTTTTAAAAATATTAAATGTTTAACATCACATTAAAATTTTTCTGTTTTACTTCCAGGGTAGAAATTTTGTCATGGTCTAAACCTGGGCCAAATCTGGCGTCCATAAAATTGGCATGAAATGCCTTACCCAATTTGGTCCACAAGATGAAGCCAAATTTTGAGGCTTCCCAGGTCTGACCCATTTTTGGGCCAAATATGGCAATTTCTATACGGGTTCTACGCTGTGACAAAATGTGATAAACAGAAGACTAATTTAACAGTAATTTTATTTAAAACAAAGTATCATTGTAAAAATATATGCTATCCTTTACATTTCAATATTTAGAATTAATTTCGAATATAAAAAAAAATTTAATCTAATTTTACTTGTAAATCTTTAGATTTTATACACTACAAAACATTAAAAAAAATTTTTTATTCATAAGTATGTTAAAAAAATTTTCATCATTTTCTTCATTTAGTTAATTTCACGTTTATTATATAGGTATACTTTACAAAAAGTAATTTTTTTGAAATTATTTATTTAGAAGTTGATCGAAGTCGACTTTTTGACTCGATTAATCGGCTTTTAAAGTCGAGAAATATAAAGTCGATTGTGAAGTCGAAAATCGACTTTTAATTTCTCTTTTCTATCCCTATCAAAAACAATAATTGAAGAAAACTTCAATATTTAAGTACTTTATCAGTTAAAGTAATTTTTAAAATATATATATTTATTTACTCTCCCTGCATAGCAGGGTTCGAGGATCCAAATACATTGTTCTTAAATCTAATTACACTAAACTTAAAACTAATACAAAAAACTTAACACTATCGCAAGAACGCAAAAATTCTCTCTCTCTCTTTCAGTTGCCTGGGCTTCCGTTTCCTGTTTTTTTTAGCCCATTTTGGCTTTCTCGGAAATTCCCCTTGCAAATAAAACTAAATCTACTTTTTTTTTTTTTTTTTTTTTTTTTTAAACGCCCACCCCATATCTAATTTCCCTGTGCAATCTTCCTTCTCTCATCCAAATCTTCCATCCATGTCACACCTTGTCCGCTTTCATCCAAAATCCAACTAATTATCTCACCCATTCCCCAATCATCCTTCCACACATTCATTCCTCTTCCACACCTTTCCAGCACATGTCCCCAATCTTCCACCTCGTACCCACATACCCTGCACATTTTCTCCTCATTCCTTAACCAATATCTACACTCATTCACTCCCTCACCCATTCTGAATCTAACCATCCTACTCCACTTTGACTCTTTTCCCTTACCATCTAGGTATTTTGGCACCCCAACCCTCTTCACCATCTTGTACCATATGTTGTACCTCGACCTTAATATCCTTTGCCATCTTTCTACCTTATCCATCTCTTTCCAATTTTCCTCCAAGCCATACCAACCCCTACCTTCCTTTCTCGCCTCCTTTAAAACCATTCCTCTCTCGACCTCCCATTTTGACATTTCTTTTTCCCCCCTTTCCTCCCTTTCCACTACCATTTCTCTGCATCGTTGAGTCCACTGATTCCCCCTTCCCTGCCTTAACTTCTCCTCAAAACCCCACGCCCTCCTCCTTTGCCTTACCAACATTTTTTCCCTACCCAGCTCCTCCCTAAGCATGTAACCCGGACAACTTCTACTCACTCCCATCGTCCATCTCATATACCTTTCACTCATGCTCTCCACTTTCTTTCTTTCCTTCCATCCCCAAATTTCCACACCGTAACATATTACCGACCACACCAGCACATCAAACAACCACATTCTTCTTCTCCAGTCATTCTTAAACCTCCTTTTTCCAATTCCCCATACCTGCCCCAAAATCTTACCCGCTTTTTCCAACCTTCTACTCACATGCAATTCCTGACTCCCATTCGATTTAAACCAATAACCCAAATAACAAAACTCATCCACCTCTTCCACACTCTTTCCATTCAACTTCCATACTTCTTCCTTACCTCCTTTCCTATTCCTAAATCTTAAAACCTTCGTTTTCTCTACATTCACCCACAGATCCTTACCCGACACATACTTTTCAAACTCTCTCATCATCAGTCTCATCCCACTCTCACACTCTGCCAGCAGCACAATATCATCCGCATATGCTAACGAGTAAATCCTACTTTTTCCCAGTACCACCCCTCCTTTACCTCTTCCCCTTAGCTTCTCTTCCAGGTCTGCCATCAGTAAACTAAAAAGCAATGGACTCAACGGGCAGCCTTGCATTAACCCTCTTCCCATCCAAAAAATGTCCCCGAATCTATCCCCCACCCTAACCCTTGTCCTCGCGTCCTCGTAAATCTCTTTAATCCGCTCAATGAGACCCCTGTCTATCCCTCTTTCCTTCAATGATTTCCATAACACTCCCCTGTTTACTGACGGAAACGCCGCCTTAAAGTCGACAAACAACGTCACCAGCTTCCCCCTCTTCTGCCCCAACCTTTTCCCCACTAAATAATTTAAGGAGTAAATGTGGTCCAAGGTACCCATCCCCCATCTAAACCCCGCCTGGTTTTGTGGAATTCCACCCCCTCTATCCACACACTCCTCCACCCTTCGCCTCAAAATCTCCGCGTACACCTTATACCCCACCGGCATTAACGTTATTCCTCTATACTCTTCCACTCTTTTACCTTCCCCTTTTTTAACCAGCGGCACAATCACTCCCGTTTTCCATCCCTCTGGTCACCCTTCCCCCTTCCACACTTTGTTAATAATCCCCCACATCTCCTTCCTAATTACCCCACCCCCATACTTTAAACATTCCGCTTCCATGCCATCTAAACCAGCTGCCTTATTTCTTTTCAGCCTTTCAATTGCTCTGTCTACCTCCTCCTCACTTACTCCTCCAATCCCTTCTTCCTCTATCAGTACTCTTTTTTCCCCCACGACTCTTCCATCTACCCCCCCGCTAAGTTCCTTAAAATATCTGGTCCATTCCCTCATTCCTATGCTTCTATCTACCCCACCTTTTCTGCTTCTCTCTTTATTTATAATTTCCCATTCCCTCCCCTCCCTCACCGCCCTCTCCACCTCTTCCATAAATCTTTTCTTTTCCTCTTCTTTTTTCCGCTCCAGCACTTTCTCATGTACTTTTTGACGTCTCTTATATTCCCTTCTGTTTATGCAACCTTTCCTCCACATTTTGATACTAACCCTCATTTCCTCCTTACTACTTTCACATTCATTATCCCACCATCCCCTCTTTGCTCTATCCTTTCCTCCTTCCTGTGACATCTTATCCTTGACTTTTTCTAGGAAACCAACCATCCTTTCCACTCTTTCATCCACCCCGTCCTCTTCCCTTGCTCCTGTCCACTCCTCCTGTACTCTTCTCTCAAATTCTCGCAACTTATCATCCGTCCACATTCCCATTTTTTCCTTCTTATCTTTCCTTTCTTTCTCCGCCTCTTCTCTCATTTCAACCCTCCCTTTAAACTGTGCTATTACCGGAAAGTGCTCCGATCCTAATTCCTTGCCAACCCTCATCGAAATCAGCCTCCTTCTCACTTTTTCCTCAGCCAAAATATAGTCTATAACAGTATCCCCCTTCCCATGAATGTGAACTCTCCTTCCTCATCCCCTTTTATGTTGCCGTTACAGATTGACCATCCTTCTCCTTCTAAAATTTCTAACAACTTACAACCCTCCCCATCTACTTCTTTATGCTTGGACTCTCTTTCATATTTATTTGTCTCCTCGTTCCATTGCCCTCCTCCCAACATTCCAGTCCAAGCATTTAAATCCCCCCCTATGAGAACCAACCTTTCCTTGCCCCTATCCATCCACTCCTCCAGCACGCTCCATCCTCCTTCTTCTCCTCTTCTTCTATACAATCCTACAATGTCCAATTCCTCCCGTCCCAACCTAATAGTCCTTACCATACACCCGTCCTTTTCCATATATTTCACTTTCTTCCCCTCCCTTAATCCCCTTTTGACCCCAGTAATTATTCCTCCTGCACTTCTCCCCCTTGCCACCTCTTTTCTTGCCCCCTGTATTCTCCATCGATAACCCTTTGGTAATTTTCTTTTCACTTTCCCCCACTCTTTTTGTTCCATCCATGTCTCCAACAAGCAGACAACCTCCCATTTTCCCAATGTCTTCCAGAATCCCTCATCCTTATTTTTTCAGCCCCATATATTCCAAAAAGCCACCCTTATTCCCTGTGATCCTTCTTTTGTTCCATTCTTTCGCCCCCAAACCCCCTTCTCCCCCCCTCTGCATCTTCTCCCCCTATTCCACTTTCAGCCCTCCATTGAACTCCATCTATCCACAAACAGTCTCTTCCCATAGTCACTCTTTTCCCTTTCCTTCTTTCCTCCCATGCTTTCTCCCTCAACCACCAATCCCTTCTTCTCTCTGTCCAGGTTTTGTCCTCCTCTATCCTTTCCTCCCTTCCTCTCAACTTCTTTTTCAACTCCATTACCTCCCTTCTTTCCTCTTCGCTACCTAATTCTACTAACCAAATCTTCGGCAACTCCCTACTTTCTCCTCCCACCCCTTTCACTCCCTTAATGTTCACTTTTGCCCCTATTTCCACCATAAGCTCCTTAACTTTTTCCTTCCCTTCTTCCCTCCCCACCTTTAAACCTCTAATTGTAATCCAACATTTCCTTTTTCCTTTTCCAACCGCTCTACTAATCTGGACAGGTCTGCCACTTTCCTCTCCAACTCCCCCGTTTGACCCTCTTCTGTCCCCTGTCTACTCCCAGTTGCCTCTTCTCTTATCTCCAATTGCCCAACTCTCTTCTCCAGCATCGACATCTCGGCACTTCTCTTTCTCTCTACTCTCTCCAGTGTGGTTTCAACCATCACTACTTTTTCCATTAAATCTTCTTTCTCTCCTCTCCATCTTTCTTCCCAATTTGCCCACATATCTCTTATCTCCCTCACCTCTCCTCTAATCATATCCATTTTTTCATCCCTCTTCTCCTCTTTCCTTTCGCTTTCTTCCCTTGCCACTTTAATTTCCTTCCCCAAATCTTCTATTTTCTTATTAGTCTCCTCACTCATTTTCATCACTGCTCTCGCCATCTCCCCCATTCCTGCCAGTACATCACTATAATCTTTCAACTCTTCCTCTCTCTCGTTATTCTCCCCCTCATTACCCTCCTCTTCCTGATCATTTTCCCCCCTAGCCTTCCTTCTATCCCTCACCTGCTTTTGCCACAGCCCTACATCTTTCCTTGTTATCTTAGCAAAACTTGCCAATCCCTTCGGTCTGCCTCTTTTCCTAGCACTAAATAACGCGTAGTCCGGCAATGAAGACGTTGACAACTTTCTCAAAACCTTAGGGGTACTAAAAACCTCCTCTTCTTTTTCACTGTCCGTCCCTGGATGTTCCGTCTCATCTCGCACGCTACCTGTCTCCGTCCCTTCCTCCCACTTCTCCCACTGACTTATTTCCCCCTGACTACCAGTATTCTCGTGCCCTCTGTCACCAGCATTCTCCTGCCGTCTGGCGCCTTTTATCGGCGACCTCTCTACTAGCGCCATGAGAACCCGCCTTCACTCTAAACTCCTTACTCTCTCTACCTCTGTCACTCACTCTCTCACTCTCCACGCTCCCAACCTAACCTTCCAAAACCTCACACACCTTTACTCACTTTTTACAGCCACACTACTACACTTCACACGACTTTTTTATCACTCTCATACACACAAAACCACTCACTGCACAATTCACCGATTTATACTACCCTGCCCTCAAAAAATACCGGAAAAAACTTTGTCAAAAGACCAAGAAACACAGAAACGTCCGTATTAAACCGTAACCGGAAACGGAAGCCAAAGTAATTTTTAAAATGAAACTTTTTATAAAAATATGTTACAAGTTATAACAAAGAAAATATGATTTATTAATGATATCTTAATTCAAAAGAACGTTTTTATAAAAAAAAATAAGTTGGAAAAAATATAAAAAATGTTATGTATTAATATCTTCATGTATTACAATTTTTTGTTCATATAATTAATAATCCAATTTTTAGTTTGCATTTTTGTAAATATTATGAACAAATAAATATATATATATTTCTACAAACACGATGACTAGTAGATAATGATTTTTAGATAACTTGGAACCTATCTTCAAATTTTTCCAAATTTGCTCTTTTAACCTGTAGGATTTATACTATAAAAAAGAATTTCAAAAAATGTTAAAAATCTAATATAAATGAATGCATTAATAAAAAATATCCTTATTTGAATTTTTTTCTTTTGCATTTTTTATGAAAAATAATATGCGATAAAAGTGTCTCGTTTCGGCGCCTCCACTCGACTACGGCTTGTGCTGGAAACATCCCACTCGAGAAAAGTTACTCTTTAAACACTTGTATAGCAATGTACTATTACTGTATTAGATTTCTTATATTCAGAATAAGTAAGAGCTTGATGATTACTGGATTACTTGGTTGCTGAGTTGAAATTTCGAAACAATCAATGATGCTTTGAACGTTATTGCATTTAGATTGAAAAGGTACTGGCAAAAGAGCTTTTATAGATTTTTTGTTTGGCCATATAATTAATTGTTTACAGTAATGTGCTAGTTGTGGAACATTTCGTCGAAAAATTTTATTTACTTCGAGGTACTTAGTCCGAATTCAATTCCCATCCGTTCAAAAGAGTCGTTAGTTTTCATTTTTGTTAGAACGATGCAAATATTCATAATATTTATTCCAGTCTCATCACTTAATAATTTTAATATATAATTAGCTTTTTTTGGAATGCAAATAAAAAGTTTCAAATGATCCATAATTTTTACTTTTTGATACAAATTATTTTTTCAAAGTCTAGTAACGTAACTTCTTCATCACTGACTTCTTCGCTATTAGGACTGTAATCAGGATCCGATTTATTTGAAGAATTAGAAGCAGAAAAAGTTGACATGGAGCTATCAATACTTGAGTTTTCTTGTAAATTAGACTCTGATGATAATTCTTCTAAGTTCTGATAATCTGAGAAATTATCATTTTCGTCTTGCATATTTAATTGTTTAATAGGTGAACAAGCAACATTTTTTGTTTCAGGGCAACATGAAGTACCTTTACTGCGATATAGTAATAGTGTATAGGATACTGTATAAAAACTTTTCAATCCAAATGCATAGTAACGGATCATGTACGAGTGCAAGATCCTTTATGGGTTCCTGTGCATACTTTGCACAAGAACTTTTCCGAAATTTAAATATAAGTTGATATGTAAGGTTTTGTACAAGAAAAAAATGGCAATGTTATTTAGACGAAAAGAGCTTTTGGATAATGAGAAAAAAAAGGAAAATATTGTCTTTCACGCTTGATCAAAACTGAAATGTCAGAGATTTAAAAATCGAACAGGGTCGCAGAGATCAAATTAATATAAATTTAAATAAAATTTATTGAATTAAAAATTAAATAAATATACATTTTGATAATAATTAAAATAAGTAGGTTTAAATTTTATGTGGTAAACAGAAACAACACTTAGATATGCCATGTATTATTATTTAATTATTCTTGCATGTTGTTGCTCCAAAACTATAAAAGGCATAATATTTAAAATAATGGATTTTGAAATGTGTGCATAGTTGGAAAATAACTCCAAATAATGTAATCCAACAACACCTTCCATTTCCCATTCGCTAGTCAACTTGGAGCTAAAACAACAGTTAATTTAATTACAAAATTATAGATACGAATTGCAAAATGTAAAAGAAATTTTACCTGTCTAGAGTTGTAAATGACACAATGTAATCACAGACGTAACTAACGTAATTCATTAATTGAGATTCCTCAAACTGCTGTAAAACTGTTTGTACGCCAATTGATAAAATTACAGAGTCCACTGGGTCTTGTACCTTTTTACTTAAGAGACTTGCTATAATTCAAGATATATATTTTTTAACATAAATATGAGGGATTTTTCTTCAATCGCCCCAGCCCAAAAAGTGAAAGTTCTGGGATTGCGTTGATACTTTGGTAAATTGTTGTCCAATATAAAAATAATAAATCGCTAAAATATAAAAGCATTCTTCACCTACTTTTCAATACTGTACACGAAATTAAAAAAAAAATTTCACCTATTTTTTTAAAAATCAACCTTTATTTTTCAATTTTCACTCCTTCAGGTATTTAAATTTTTTTTTATTTTCATTGGAAGGCTGAGGTTTTTTTCGATAAGCTACGTAAATATAAAAGTGTGACAACAATAATGTTTTGAGAAACAAAATATTAAAGTAGGGGATGCTCCCACACAATCGACGCTACGGTGCGTACACGTCGTGGTACACACCTATGTTATTCTTATTTACTTCAGTAATAGCTCTCTGCATTCTACAGGGTTGAGACTATCCACAAAATAATGCCTGCATTATTGTTTCTGAACGAAATTTAAATTTTGAAAAATGGTAATTCAAAGTGGTAGATCAATGGTAAATTTGCCGCTAGATGGCTACAAATAAACACGTGTTCTTGTGCGACTCGCGAAAATTGTTTAAATTTTGTCGGGTTTAGTTCATTTTTATTATACAGCTTATTACCATTTTTTAAATAAGGTGTATATGTTACGGTAAAAGTACGATATTGGTAAATGTGCACATTTACCAATCTGGCTGGTATCTAGCTGGTAAAAGTGATTAATCTTAAAAAATTACGTACATTTACCAAGAAAGTTGGTAAATGTGCACATTGACCAGCGCGAGTTGGGAAATGTAGATAGTTTGTTTTTATTTCGCTCAGATGTATAACGACAGAAGGTTGTGAGCCTAGTGAAAGACTTATTAAAAGTAGTGAATCGTTTTTTAATGTAATTGATATTATTATTGCTTCGTCATCAGCGTGCATCAGCAAGTTAGGCGATTTTAAACCCAATTTCATTTTGGAACCAAAAAGAGCCTCATATGGAGTTTGTTGAATACCGCTGTGATATGATCGGTTCTTCATCATCTGTACATACTTCAGTTCTTCGGACCACTTAGTTGTTTTCTTCATTTCCATCAAAGAGGCAAGAATATGTTGCACATCTTGGTTTGCCCACTCCACCGAACCCTGACTTTGCGAATGCCTTGGTTTGCCGTGAACTAGTTTTACTCCATCCCAAAGGTTGGCTAATTCGGTAATCACTTTATTCACAAATTCTCGGCCGTTGTCGCTGTGAAGGATAGATGGAGCACCAAAAATTGTGAAAATGTCCATAACATTACTTGCCACTTCTGCGGCCGTTTTTGTTTTCAGGGGTTTCAATATCACAAATTTCGTGAGGTGGTCCTGATAGTTCAAAATATACTTATAGTCTCCGTCCGCCTGAGTTTGAAGATCAATGAGATCAATTTGACATCGCGAATTAAATTCAGAAGAAAGCAGAGGTTTAACAACTACACCTCTCTTTTTGGTTTTTGATTTCTTCTGACACGGTTCGCAGAGACTTAAATAGAGCATTATCATCTCTACTGTTATATTCACATATTTTTCATTCACTTCTTTCATCACTTTATTACGACCGCCGTGGCCAACATTAATATGTGCTTCATGAATCACGTCGAAAATTTTTTCGTTTATCACAAAATATTTTACTTCAGCATTATTTTCCTTGAGAGGTGCAATTAATTTCTGTTCTTTACCGATATTTATCACGTCATATCTTTGTAAACGACGATAATCGGAAACACTTTTGTTTCTTTCTTTCATTTTCGCATTACACACATTTTGTAACATATTCACATACTGTTCCTCCGAAAGGTACACGTTATTTTTATTTTTCGCCTCAATAATATTCATTGCACTCGCGTAAAATTTTTGTTTCATTTCGTGGTTTAAATTTTCTTCGCTCATTTTCAGTTTCAGAAAATTAATTATACTCGCGATACAAGTGTCGAAAGCAAACTAAACGAAATACTGAGGTTAACAATATAAATATTTTACTTTCATAATTGTTTCCTCTATAGAAATTTGACTCATATCTATAACTGAATTAAAAACAAAACAAACTATCTACATTTCCCAACTCGCGCTGGTCAATGTGCACATTTACCAATTTCCTTGGTAAATGTACGAATAATCTGTGTTAAATGCATGATTTTTTACTTTTACCAAATAGCCTGGTAAATGTGCACATTTACCGGACTTCGTACTTTTACCGTAACATATATTTGTGATTAATTTCTTTTGCTAATTTTTGTGCTTTTTTTATTTCTTTTCATTGATCGCCCCCACAGCAGCCAATCTTTACTAAAAATTTCGTAAAGATTTCCTTGAAATCTTGGGAATATTTAATTGAAAAGTTTAATGAAAATTGCATAAAGATTTAAATGTCCCACCAAAATAAATATTTGGCGTAAAAGTTGACTAAAAATTTAAATGAAATTATCAGGAAATGTTCGTCGCGAAAATTGAGTAAAAATTTAAATGAAATTTTTATGAAATGTTTGTCGCAAAAATTGAGTAAAAGTTTCAATGAAATTTTCAGGAAATGTTCGTCGCGAAAATTGAGTAAAAATTTAAATGAAATTTTTAGGAAATGTTCGTCGCAAAAATGTAAATGAAATTTTCAGGAAATGTTGGACGGAAATATCTGTAAAAAATACAAAAATAATATTTAAGAAGTATTAATATTATTATTATTAATAATAATATTAATAATAATAATAATAATAATAATAATAATAGATAGATAGATCTTTATTATTATTATCAATAAAAAAAATTTACTATCTGGGAATAAAAATAAAATAAATAATATACAAACATTGTTGCTCTGCTTTAATGCTTTGTTTCATATTGAATCAACCACTGCATGCTTGATTGAGCAAGAACTTTTGAAAACAAATTTTGGGGTGCTTGGGATTGAACCTACGTTCGCCGCCAGATTATTAAAAAATAAGCTTGTCTCTATTGTTATTGATTAGAATTTTGTACACATGATGAAAATAAAAAAAATGTCTGACTTTTTTCATTTTTGACATATTTTAAAAATATTTATAGTTAAAAAAGTAGACGAAATGTTAAGAAATAATTGTCTACTTTTTTTAAGCACTAAATACATATTTTTAAAAAATGTCAAAAATGAAAAAAGTCAGACATTATTTTTATTTTCATCATATGTACAAAATTCTAATCAATAACAATAGAGACAAGCTTATTTTTTAATAATCTGGTCGAATTTTATTTTTCTGGTGACCTGAACTTGAGATATCATTTATTTCTGTCAAACAGAATTATATTATATGTTTTTGTGTTTACTTAAATTTTGTAATAAATGTGTTTATATTAATTGTTTAATTTACTTATCCTATTTCTAATTAATATAATTTTTTTGTATGTATTTCAAATTTTTTTATTTAAAGTAGGTATTTAAAAAAATTAGATTATAAAAAATATTTTAATTCAATGTTTTTCAAAATAATTGAATTTTCAAAAATAATTAATTTTTAATTAATTTTAGTAAAATTTAAAAAAAACGAATTTTTAAAGAATTGTAATTCAACATTTGGAAAATAATTAAATTTTACAAATTGTCACAAATAAATATATTACAAGCATTTTTTTCTGTCTATATTTAGTCAATTTTATTTCGAATCGAAATATTAATTTTTAAAAAATTTTATTTCAACTTTAAAAGCCATTTTGTAAAGGCCAAAATCTTTTACAAAAAATATAGTATTTAAAAATTAATTTTTCATTAATTAATACATTTTTAATTATAATAAATAATTTTTGAATAATAATTTTGATTTAAATGTTTAAAAAATAGAATTTTTGTGTTCACTTTCATTTCTTATTTTAATATATTGAAATTATTTTCTTAATTATTTTTAAAACGCTTTTTCTTGTCCTTAACAATACTAATATAACTGTTTATAGTGGTGATGAGGAAGTGTGGAAATTGAATGGGAGTGTGGTTGAGGAAATAGATGAGTTTTGTTATTTAGGATTTTGGCTAAAGTATAATGGGGGTCACGAGTTGCATGTGAGTAAGAGAATTGAGAAAGCGGGGAGGATAATGGGGCAAGTGTGGGGAATTGTAAAGAGAAGGTTTAAGAATGAATGGAAAAAGAGAATGTGGTTGTTTGATGCGTTAGTATGGGCAGTGTTGTGTTATGGGGTAGAGATATGGGGATGGAAGGAGAGAGGAAGAGTAGAAAGAATGAATGAAAGGTATATGAGATGGACAATGGGAGTAAGCGCAAGTTGTCCTGGGTACATGTTGAGAGAGGAAATAGAGAGGGAGAAAATGGTAGTACGGCAGAGAGGGAGAGCATGGGGGTTTGAGGAGAGATTGAAACAAGGAAAAGGGAATGAATGGGCTCAATTGTGTAGAGAATGTATTAGAGAGAGAGAGAGAATAGGAAAGAATGTACAATCGAAGTGGGAAAAAGAAAGGACGGATGCTTTGGAATGTTGGGGAAAGAATGACAGGGGTTGGTATGGTGTAAAAGAGACATGGAAAGAAAGAGATGGTAAGGATAGATGGGAAAAAATTAGAGTGTCTAAGTATAATGGATGGTATAAAATGGTAAAGAATGTGGGACAGCCGAGATATTTAGAGAAACTGAGGAAAGAAGCGAAATGGCAAAGAATGGTGAGATATAGGATGGGGGAGGGTATGAGAGAATGCAGGTATTGGATGGTGAAAGAGGAGAAGCTGTGTAGAGTGTGCGAGTTTGATGTAGATGACTGGGAACATGTATTAGAGAGGTGTGTGAAAGAAACGAGTGGGATGAATGAGGATTGGGATAAAGAGGCTAAGGTGCGATGGATATTGGATGAGAATGGGCAAGGGGAAAAATGGATGAGAAAGTTGGATGAAAGGAGGGAGAAAAGATGAGAGGAAGATGAATGAATAAGAGGTGAGAATGAAAATATAAGGGAAGGGCGTAATAG